CCCAGAACAAACATCAGGTGGGGAGCAAGACACAGAGCCTTCATCCAATGGAAGCTACTGCGCATGCCCTGGGTGGAGGACAGTATGTAAATGAATTCCCGGAAAAGTAATGAGTATGTCTTGGGTAATACTGCTGAATATGTATGGCTTGGCTAATAAATGTATCGAGACCTCACTCGCTGGTGTGCTAGCTAGGAGGAGCGAGCCCCCTTGCAGCCGGCTTGTGGCACAGTGCTGAAATAAAGACGTACCTGCTCTGATAACCTTATGTGGATTAGAGAGTTTGATTCCGCAAATCAACAGAAGCAGAGGTGCATAAACATCACACGTGGGTGGGCTTAGTAGAGATTGCCATTTCTTTTGTTGAAGCAATTAAATAGAATCATGGAACCGTAGAATCATTGAGGTTTGAAAAGGCTTCCAGCCAGCTCTTCACCCTTAGCAAAGTATGTACCTGTCAGATTCTTCTATAGATGAGGTTGGAAACTGTGCACTGATGTTACAGTGTCCTGCACTGACTGAAGGCCCCTGATTTTCATTCAAAGGAAGCTGGACGTGGTCTCATCCACCAAATGCAGGGCCTCAAGGACAGGAACGCTGGGCTGGTAGTAGCTCCTACCACACAGTGAGCTGTTTGCTCGTGTCCACCTTAAACAGAAGGGTGAGGAAAGAAGCTGCACTGAATGCAGCAGTGCTCTCAATGTGGCAGTACTGTGGGGAGACAGGGCAGGTTAAAGTCAAGGTATTTATTTCTACCTGGTATAAAAGTTCGGCCAAGCCTGTACTAGCAACTTCAACTGTTAAAAAAATTACAGTGAATGTGTATATATATATAAACGTATGTGTATATGCATGAAAAGAAGTAACAAAGATTCTACAAATTACTTCAGTTTAAAATGTTGCCATATTAGCAGATTTAATGTAGGCCTTTGTACATTTAAGTATTAGTGTACTTTAAGCCACATCTGTCATTACTAATATGTACTAGGGTGTAACTGTAAGACAGGTAGAGAAGAGAAAGCAAATGCAGACCAAGCAAACCAGCAGAAGGTGTTTGAGGATGGTGGGATTGACTAATAAGGGGTGAAAAACATTGCATTTGAAGAGGAAACATGCAATGATGAGTTCACAGGTACTGTATTTGTAGTCAAGTTTTGCAAGCACAAAACCAGTAGGAACTTTGTCTCCTGCAGTGATTTCACTGTGAGCAGTGTTTAGAAACAGCCCATGCCCATGGTGATTGGGTGATGCATCCCTGAAAACTGTACTCTGCAGGTCATGTATTCAGCATGTGGCAAGAAGCAGCCTGGAGGAGAGGAGCACTGGTGCTCACCTTTCTGGGAGCTGCTTGGTCTGTTCCTTCTAGATTTTATCTTGTTTTGAGTTTAATCCAAGCTGGTTAAGAGATGGGAGGAACATTTTGCATTTAATTTAAGCTGTCTCATAGAGAAGAGTTTGGTAACATTCCCCAGGCTTATGGTCCGCAGAGATTTTTGGTAAGAGCTGGAGGCTGTGCTAATGCTGCTTACATGAGCTGTGCATGCATCTGACTGTTGTGTGCTGCATTACTGCAGGAAGTTTGTCCTGGTCGTACAGAAGGATCACTTGGCAGCAGGCAGTGTTGGCTGAGGCATGCAGCCCTCTTGCTCAGGCTGTTTGCTCAGGTGATATGGGCCATATTTAATCATCTCACTGCTCTGTCCATGTTGCACAGACAAGTTAAGCATAGCTGTGGTATTTACAGCTTCAGGGGTAGCCTAATGACAGTGGTGCCAACTGATAGCTCAACAAAGTTAGAATTTGGTCAATTTCAGGTTCTGGTAGTTATGTTTCTTTTCTTGCAGTTACTAACCAGGTCTGCAAACTATGCCAGGCTCTTCATTTAAGTGATTTTGCAGTTCTGAGGTGTTTTAGAGTATCTGAGATGGCAGTAATTTTTTTTTTTTCAAATCAAACTTTTCCAAGATTTACACTGGCAGACTATCTAAGTCTTATAGGGTTCACGGTCTTGCAATATTTCAAATGAACTTCCTGGTGAATGTTTCATAGCAGTAAGGAAAGGCGCTTGTTGCAAAATATGTTTCGCTTCGAAGTTAATGATACGGTTAATGACAGAGGGAGCAGGAAAGAGTATGAAGGGACTGGGTGAGGGTTATTTACCTCCTGCCATTTTTTCTTGTTCTGCTGACTCTGAGAGGTTTGTAACCTGGCTGAAGCATTAGTGTTTGTCCAGGGTTATTTTACTGTCTGGAGATGTTAAAAACAGCTCGTTCAAACGGTGGTGGTAATTAAGCTGTGCTTGCTTTGTGCATTGGGACAACCATAAACCAATAGCAAGAACTTTTATTATTTTATTTTTCTTCTGGGCCTCAAGGTTCTTAAAGGCTGAGTATTGATGTACTGAGGGGCAATATTTATTATCCTGTAGCATGCTCAGTATGCCCAGTGCTTTCAGTTACACATTACAGAGCTCCTGCCCAAGGCAGCTGGGAGTTCGGGCTGGGAAGAGAGGTAGAGAGAGGAGGAGAGGCATCAGGAAGGGAGGGAGCTAGTTTTCTCTATTATGGCAGTTCAGTCACATTATTTACCTGTGGAAACACAGCTTAAGTGTTATCTGTTCTCCATCTGAGATTTGTTTCTAACCTGTGCATTCTAAAGGTATGTGTAAGCAGCCGGGGGAGATAGCCCTCTTTTCAGGCAGCTTAAGTTGTGTAAGGCTGTTGGGAAGTTCTTAGTAAACAAGATGAAAAAAGTGAAAAGGATGGATTTGTATACTGTTTGTCTTCCCAGAAACCTCAGCTTCTGCATAAGACTCCAGTGACTCTAGCACTGAGTCTGAGAGTATCAAAGATCAGCTCTATAAAGTACTCATAACTCCGTGTCCTAAGTTATATTACACTGCTGTGTACAGCTAGGAGATAATTAAAACTGAGAATTCTTTGCCGTAGCATAGGAGGAGCTGACCTCTGTGTGTCAGCTCAGTTGGGGAGTTCCTGTTGTTCCCCCTGTGCCTTGCAAATAGATACTTGTTTGTTTGCTTATGGGCAAGCTGGGGCTAAAGCATTGCAGGCAGTGCTGCGGCTGGTGCTGGACATTCCGTTGCTCCCTCAGTTAAACTTTGTTTCCTGGGATAAATTCTGGTGGGCAGTACCTGGCCATATGTTGCCTGTTTTGTCTGCAACATTTGTAGCAGCGGAAGGATCTGGGACAACCTAATGCCCCATTTCTGGAAGGAAATGGAAAGGGAATGAAAAGGAGTGAACAGAATTTCAAATTTAAGAATTACATAAAGGAAAAGTGTCAGTATGTTGAACTGCTTAGCTGTTTTATTTGTAATGACTAGAAGAGGTATGAGACTCAATCCCTCTGCATTGGTTTGTTTTGATGAAAGGAGGAAACCCCACCTTTTCCCTGGAAAAACAGCAAGTGGAAACTGTGGTTTTACTGCTAAGAATTTGATACAGTGGTTCTCAAGATTAAGTACTAAAATTGCTTTAGAAACTGCTTTCGCTTGCAGAGTTGAAAGCTATTACTTCTTCCATTTCACTGACATATTGCAGTTCCATCTTTTGGATGTTCTGGAATGTTGAGCAATCTTCAGCTGCAGTACTTTGTGAGATATCTGCTCAGAGCACGTGGGATAGGAAATAGAGTTCGCAGCTCAACAGAGGGAGTTCAGAGGCTGATGCAACTCTCGTGTTATTGCTGACAAATGTAACTCCTAGGAGTGTGTTGGGAAAAGCCTCGCATAGCCAAGAGACTGCATGGATGTGAGAGTTAACACCAATGTTTCCTACTGTATTTTTTCCCCTCAGATTACTTTTTAAGTTATGGTTGAGCGAAATTGTCAATAATGAGATGATGTGAGTCTGAGACTAAAGAACTGAATTCATTTCCACAAGGGAGAACTCCAGTGGTGTTGAATTTGCCCTATATACGGCTGTTTACCTTCATTATATGTTGCTCTCCTGTGTTGTTTCGCACCTCCCCCCTCCCCCCCAAAAAAAAAAATAGAATTGATCCCAGTTAATGCTGGAAAGAGATGTATTTGTAGAAGCCATTAATCTCTTTTTATGATACATCAGAAAGCACTTGAGATACTACTAATTATACAAAGCAGACACTGTAAGGTTTCAGTCCTTTTGTTTTTGTTGCTCTGGTGTGGAACTTTTGGAGCTTTGAAAATGTACTTAGCGTGAAGAACTCATATATACCTCATAGGAAAAAATATTTGATCTTTGTAGGTTCCTGCCTGAGTTGTGTGACTCATTTGGCAGCCCCCCCATTTTGTTTAGAGATGTGGAAAATAATAACACGCTTCCAGTTAAAACTGTTTCTCTTCTTTCCCCTTCCTCAACCTTGGGAGGCTACCAGGAAAGTTCATATAAGTCTGCTCCAAAACTGCATGTTCAGAGTAGGTGAGTAATACTTATGCAAGAACTACCATTGTGCATAGCCATCAGTAATTATTTACCAGTGCTAGCGAGAGAAGTGTGCATATGAAATTCCAGTGACTTCAGAAAGGTACCAACTTAAATCAATTGAATCAACATTACTTTTATTTCTCAGAGCTGGTTGCCATGGGTGTTGTTGTCCCGTGGCCTGCTTTAGGACAGCACAGTTCTGTCTGTCCTTTGGCTGGCACTGCCTGTTGGGCTCAGGTCTGCGTTGCTCACGTGGGGTCTGACGCAGCCCCACCGAACGGATGTGCAGGGAGGAAGGGTGACGGCTGTGGGATGCAGACACCTGTTTTCTCATGTGCCATCAGGGCTGGGTCTCGTGAGGCTTTGTACAGCAGCAAAATTGTTATTTATTCTCATATGCTTGTGACGTGCACAACTGCTAGAGTGGGTTGACTTTCAGACTGTGATTCATTTGGCGTTTCACTGTATATGGCAGACTTCTCTGGAGGTACTTTTGAGGTGTCTTTCAATTTATTTTTTTTTTCCAGAGCATAGAAGCTGAGCACCATGAATAATGAAGCTGATATCAGGAAGAAACTTGAGGTGTAGAAGACATAGCGGAAATCACGGGTTGCATCCACCAGGAGACCTGAAATGGAAACCACAGCTTAGTTAAAAAGAGGATACGTGGTAAAGGCAACTGTAGTGACATTTATAGAAATGTTAAATCTGGCCAATCCAGGAAAATGCCCTGTACAAAAGATAAGCATTCATAAATGAGTTAAGATCTGTTCTCCAGATTCTAGAGCTTGTTTGTAGTCATTTCTCAGGCGGTGTTTCTGTTTCTGTGAAAAGTATTTTCCAGTACACAGAGAAATCAGGAAAGAAAGGAAATTGTAACTTTTTCCCCATGCACTGATTGATTTTTGTACTCATCAGAGGACCTCTGTGTCAGGGTTTTGGAGCGAGTGACCTTCGTACAACCCAGGTCAGAGATCAGAACAAATAAATAAGGAAATCTTTCCAAGACTGACATGTTTGGGTCTCTATACTGAAAACTTGTAATAGTGTGAGGAAAATGCACAGCACAGTGGGCATTATAACTAACTTTGAGAGCCTCAATGCAAAACATTTAGAAGATTGATATGTCAAGTGGGTATTTTAACACCAACACTGGAGAAGGAAAGGCAAAAGGTATTCGGGTAAAATGTATGATGCCTCCTCAACAGGTTGCTTATTAATATATGGAAATATCAGTGTAATTCTTCAATGTATTTTCTATCTCCAACAAGAAAGTGAGCTAATCTTGCTGTACTTTGTTTTCATAGAATGGTTTGGGTTGGAAGGGACCTTCAAGATCACCTAGTTCCAACTCCCTGCTGCAGGCAGCGACACCTCCCTCTACCAGGTTGCTCACAGGCCCATCCAGCCTGGCCTTGAATGCTACCAGGGAGGGGGCATCCACAGCTTCACTGGGCAACCTGTTCCCGTGTCTCACCACCCTCACAGTAAATAATTTCTTCCTGATATCTAGTCTAAATCTACCCTACTCCAGTTTAAAACCATTTTCCCTCATCCTGTCACTATATGCACTTATAAAAAGTCCCTCCCCAGCTTTCCCGTAGGCCCTTCCGTGTTGGAAGGCTGCTATAAGGTCTCCTCAGAGCCTTATCTTCTCCAGGATGAAGAGCCCCAGCTGTCAGTTTTGCCCATCTGCCACTCCTATCAGAGACATCCCAGACCTTTTCTGCACTTTGAGAAAAGCAACTAACATGTTTTGCCTGGGAATGACATGACATACAGTGCATGTAGTCCCATTCATAGAACAGATAGTTGCTTTCCCACTGGATGAGATACAATTCAGTGCCTGGAGAAGAGAGCTAAAACCAGTAGAGGATTCACACTCAGATTTGTATTTTGTCTGTCAGTCTTTTGAATTTGTTGCTATACTGCAGGAGCAGGTACTTAGCCAGGTTATTCAGTGGCTTTTGGAGTGAACTGTGAAATCTGTGAGTAATTTATTAGATTTGAGGGCATAACTAGTTTCCTTTCTTGCCTCTAGAGGAAAATGAATGCACTCCATAACCAGGAATAACAATAAGTAGAAGAGGCTTTTACTATAAGCCTCTTCAGTTACGTAGAGCTGGTAATACCTCTGACGACAGTAGATGTATGGATGTTTGCAATTTCTTGAGACTTCATAGATCAGTGCTAGGAATGCAGTGAGAATTTTATGACAGCACGATCCTACTACTGTAATTCCTCTCTGTGCTCTGCCATTCGAAGGAAACAAGTTCTCATCACTGCATGCCTGTCGAAGCTGCCTGCCAAATGTGCAGCTTTTTCACTGTCTGCTGTTGCTTCAGAGACACTTAGGCAGCTACAGAAATTATCCTTGTTCGGCTGTGAGAAGGGCATTCCTTTCTGAGTCTTCCTTTTGTATTGCTCCCTCTGCATAATCAGCTGCCTGCATGGATCTGGAAACTCATTCATTCCTCTTCAATATGCTCCCAAATACTTACCATCGGTGTCTAAAAACCTTGTTTTTCTCCAATCTGCTTTAATAGGTTTTCTCACCTGTCAGAGGGGGTCCAATGAGAACAGTGATACTCTCCAGGATGGTGAAGAGCCCTAGAGCGCTCGAGAACCTGTCCATCTCCACCACATCCATCAGCACCTGGAATGTGAGGGCTCCAATGCCACTCATGGCTATACTGAAGATGACGCAGTAGAAGATGAGCATGCTGAATTCAGCTGAGATGACACAAATGAAATTGCCCAGCCCACACAGGAGCACGGCCAGGCTGTACAGGTAGATGCGTCTCCCTGTGAAGATTGTTTGTCCTGAGAGCAGCCCTGTCAGAGGGCGCATGAAGATGTTGATGAATCCAATAATGGAGATGAGGAGGGCTGCCCTGTGTTCCTCCAACCCATTCTGGATGGCATAAGGTACGAGGTAGATATGGGGTAACGCAAACCCCGTCATCATCCATGTCACTCCAATCGTGTAAATCTGGTACCTTTTGTTTTGACAGAAGATATCAAGAGCCAGGTAGTTCTGCAGCACCTGGAAACATGTGATCTTTCTGGTTTGTTCCTGGAGCTTTAGGTGAGAAGATGCTCTGTTGGACAGCTGAGCGTCTTCTGCTCTTCTCCCTGGCTCCTCTCCTGTACTGGAAAACTGCAGTAGTGATCCCAGTGCAAACTTCACTGGTCTCATAATAGCTCCACAAACACAACAGTTCAACAGGATTCCTCCAAAGATAAGAAAAGTATCTCTCCAGCCCATCTCATCTAGCAGGTATCGAGAAAGAAGCGGCCACAGTGTGAAACCAATAGAGACACCAGTGGACGCCATGGCATTGGCCAGCGTTTGCCACCGCACAAAGTAGGAGCCCAGTGCAGTCACTCCTGCCTGGAAGCTGAAGCATGACCCCAGACCTAAAGATAAGAATGAAAGAGAAAATAGTAGCACATGATCTCTCTGTAGTGTCTTACAAGATTAAAAGAGCCCAAAACTCTGGTGTACCCACAGATGACTTCATCACAGCCCCCAGTGATTAATGATCAGTAATCCCAAATGAGGGGTGAAGAAGGATGTTGTGTATACTTTAGATTCCCTGTGTTCTCAGGGGTACTGAATACACTGCTCTAAGCTGATGTTTGAGCCACACTGCCATGCCCATGATTGTTCCAGAGTTGTTCTTGGGAAAAATGACCAGGACTTGGTTTTATACTGCATTCAGCAGGCAGAGTTGATTCCTGACGTTTTCACCAGGTTTCAGGGAGTTAATTATTGTTTATCCCTGTGCTGCGCACAGACCTTAGCTTGCAAGAGTCAACAGGTTTGGTCCCAAAATGATCTGGCTTCACAAATCAATTTCTCTTTGTTAGAAAAATAGCACGGATTGAAAAACAATTACCTAGGAGAAATATTTGGAAAGGAAAAGTTCCCATCTGTTACTTCTGTTCAAAACCAACATAGTATTTGGTCAGAGAAAGATAACTCACATCTCCCCAGACTGGGAGTGGTGAAGTCCGTGCCCAGGATATTTGTGAAGGATGTTATCCCAACATTGCACTTCGAGGTGGGAAAAAGTCCCCTCTTCAAAGGCAAAAGGTTGTGAAGCTCCTAAGGAGAACAGACGTTTTTGCTCTCTCTGTCACCCTTAGAGACCTGTAGCCTTTTCCAGGGAGAAGTACTTTGATATGAGCTGACTGGGTGAGATGTGTGTTAAAGGGGTGTGAAGGGCAAGCCTATCCAGCATGCAATTCCCAATGAGCTGTGGGGCTTTGATTTATTCTATTTCACAGCTAAGTGAAAAGCACGAGTGCTCAGTCCAGACTTCTACCACTTCCCAGCACAGCAGCTGGATTTCGCTGCTGTTCCTTGTACTTACCAGTGATGAGGCCAGCTGTTAGGTAAAGCTGGCTGAGGGACTTGCAGAAGGAGCTGGACACCATGCCCACGCTGCTGAGCAGCCCTCCCACTATGACAGCAAACCTGCAGCCAAAGTGCTTCACAAGGATGCTGCACAGAGGCCCTGAGAGAAGAGAAATAAAATAAAAAGGAAGCAGTGAGGGAGAACAGAATTGTTCTGTGTGTGCTAGAAAGCTGCAGTTATCAAACAATTTAGGATAGAGAGCCTGTGGATTTTCCCAGCAGCAAAATTTAAGGAAGGAAACAGAAGTAGAAAATGCATTCCCTGATCCTCCGAAGAGCTTGGTCAGCTTGTCAGCAGAAGGGAGTGCACCTGTGCTCTGCTTGTGTTTTGGCCATGAAATAGGATTCCTAAGCTTCCCTGTGATTGACAGTAGCTAATAATCCTGAAAATGGAAGTGTAATTCTGTTCTCATGTTGTATCAGTTCTACAAACAATTTGGAAAAGGATAGGACTTGAATTTCCATGTCCCTGAGTAAGAGATACTGAACAAAGTGTTATTTCTGCTTGCATATTTCCACTACTCTTTCACTGTTTTTTTCAAATATTCAGCCACAAAAGATTCTAAATTGTCCTTGGTGTCTTCTACATAGGTGAAATTCTCTGCAGGAGGGTAGGTTGACTCTGGAACAGATCAAGAGCAGGAGAAAAACAGGGATTGTCCTTGAGGGGGATAATTTGAAAATGTCTATGGAGGTGTATGCATGTTTGCATTGGAATCAGTCTAAGCTTCAGGCTGTGGCATCCATGCTCCAGCTTATGGAGCTGAACTGAAAGCTGTCTCCATGAAAACAGTACAACACTGTTGTCAGTTCAGCTCTTTCCAGATGTCTGTTTTAGCATACCTGGCCAGCGTGGGTAGCCATGAGGACCCACGCCTCTTTGCAGGCTGTGCACATCCCTGCTCTTTCTCCACCACCACAAGACCTGGGTCTTCCTGGTGGAGCAGAAATGTGGGCATTGTGCTCGTGTTGCTTGCAGGCTTTTCTAAGTAGGAGTTATGCTATTTCATCAGCAAAACCAATCGACAAATAGACATGGAGGTATGTGAGTAAAGTTAGTTGATTCATTAATTTTCACAGGCTGTTTGTTGGTGAGTTCTGTGAGAGTGGGGTAAATTACAAGGTTGCTAATGCCATAGATTTTGGGAGAGGATGATGTTAGTTCAGACCTGCAGGCTGCCAATGGAAAACATTTCTCTCTGCATGTTCTGATAGAGGAGTCTTTAATGGCAGCTTCATTTTGTGTTTCTGCCAGGGTCTGCATTATTTTCAAGGCTTACTAATTTTTTTCCTCTTCTTAACACTTAAAATTATGTAAGTAAATTCAAAAAGTCTACAAGCTTCAGAGTTAGGAATCAGCGTGGGGAAAAATAACCTGTGGAAAAGTTTTGGTTAGAAATAAAATGCATAATCAAGCAAGCAGCTGAACGTTCTTAACATTAGGACTGTAACTGTGTGCATTTTGATCTGCTTGGGAGATTTTCACCTTGGACTTCAACTGGCCTTTGAAGAAGTGTTCATCGGGCTCAGCAAACTAGTGACTGCATTCTGTTCCAGCAAAACTGCTGCATTTGAACTTGCGTGAGTCTGGAGAGTTGCAGTGGCCTTACAAATTCTGTTAGTGCATGTGATCACCATGAGGCTATTCTTTCCTTGTGTAATTAATCCCTTTTGGATCTATATTGGCTGTCTTTACATTAACTTTCACTGTGGTCCCAGCCTCCCACAAAACAATTACTTCATTATTGAAGACAGAATTGATATGTCCTCGCAGAGGCCGCCAGGCTTGTCTTTCCTAGGCGTGCTGGGACCGAGCTGCTTTTCGGACCATTCCCAGAGCCACTGGCTCCTGTTCTTTTCCTGGTTCCTACAGCAACCAGACCACAGGTCATGCCCAGCAGCTTCTCAAGTCAAACAGCCATGGCACCGCTCTGTTTCTGTTGAACTTCAGTGTCGATTCCTTCTGTAGCTGCTTTGCCTGAGGTCTTTCCCTCTGTGCCTTGCAACTCTGGGACTACCTGCTTCCACTAAGGTGCAAACTCTTTTTCCCCCGTGTCCAGCTCTCAGCCAAGTATTGCACAGTGAAACTTAACCTGCTGCAGCCATCACGTCAGTGTGACTCAGGGCTCTGCTTTTTTTTTCCCCTCATACTGCTGCGTCACCTTTCAGCAATATTGGAAGAGGGCAGGAGTGAACTAAGGGAGCAGCTCAGGTATACGGGAGTCGTTATACACTTTGCTGGATGGAGTTCAGATGGACTGTATATCACACAAGCATGGTGGGTGTATGAGGAGGGGCCAGCAGCAACACGAACCATTTACTGAGAAGCTCTCGAGCTGCTGGGTATGTTTTACTCTCCTATGCAGGAATAGGAGCTCTGTATGCCCCCTCCCGTGCAACTCCCACATTTTCTGTAGGGAAGAAACAGTGCTTAGTGCTCCTGGGTGATTCACTCCTTGTCCACAAAGCATCACCCTCCATCTACCCCCTTCAGCAGCAGGGTGCTACCTGGCCCAAGTTCTGCATTAAACCAGTTGTGCGATACCTGCTGCTGCACGCTGTGCCACTGCCCAAGGAGCTACTTTCAGCCCTGAGCCTCAGCTGGTAGCCTGGGGGAGCAGAGCTGGCATGTGGAAGGGCATGAAGAAAGTACCCAAGATCCAGCCCTACTTGCCAGCTTATTTAAAAATAACTGTGAAAAATAATTAAGTTCTCATTGTTCTGGAGAAGCTGGGCTGAGAAAGAGATTCACCTTCCTCGTTTTAGTTATCCGTTAGAGTGGTGGATGGGAACTTGGTATCTGCGGACACTTGGTGCTGGGCTCTGTGGGCATGGAAATCGCTGGGAGGCGCCTTTCACTGCCGAGCAACCTGCCCCAGACCTCCCTGTCCCTTCCTCCTCAGAGAAATGCTGAGTACCCTCCTAAGGCCCTGTGTCCAGGAGGCAGCAGAGGGCATCCCTACAGCCTCTACTTACCGCCTGCGTGCAGCACAGCAACCATGATGGAGGGGAACCACGATGTCTCGCTGTTGGTGGCCTGGAACTCATGCTGGAGGTCAGTGAAGAAGACGCCGATGCAGGAGGGGAAGCCCAGCGTCAGCCCCTGCAGCACCACTGAGGCCACCAGGACCATCCATGCCCACCCCCGGTCCTGGACTTTGGCAGTTCCTCGTGCTGCTGCTCCTCCTTGGGCCATGGCTTCTTTCTACTCGCAGGCAGCCTGCTGGGGAAGGGAGTGCAGCTACCATGCAGCCCTCAGTCCAGGAAACGGACCTACAGAGACAAGGGCTGTGGGTATTCCCTGGGCTCAGAGGCA